CAAACTAACTTATTGATAACTAGTTATTTAAAAAAAACTCTCATGCCAATGTGCCTCCTTAACACGTGTATCAATTTCAAATGATCAGAGCGAAAACCGGATAAGTCCCAGAGAAAAGGCACTATACGTCTATTAAATATATAGTATTCCACTCTCGATCAGTACAAAGTACTACGATATTATGAATCCATTACACGCTTTACCTCTCGCGTACGTTTCGCTTCCGCGTGAAAATCCCCCTCGAAGAAACACGGGAAAAGTCAAAGAACCTCGGGAAAGGATGATCGAAAGATGATCGTTGCTATCTTCGATCACGTTATTCGTTCATCATCGTTATCGTTATTATTGCAGCCCCTAAAAATTTACAATTCTCATCGACGGCGTGCAAATGGCAGGCATAATTTTCCGAATTCGAACGTGCGTAGAGTTTTCCCGGTTTTTACTCTTAATTCGTCAGAAATCAAAAGCATCGTCATGATGCACGCGCCGTGTGTGAGAACATTGGAAATCTACTTACGCGAGTCGTTCGGCTTTGCATGCAGATTTTCAACGACGATGGACAATCAGCGCTTTCGTGCCGTTTTTTTTTTTTTTTTTTTTTAGAATAAAATACAGGACAACTTTCGACTGACTTTCGTTTTCCAACTACTATTCTAAATACGTACAAACTATGTAAAAAAATGTACTTGTTTTAACTGCGTTTGACGAAAGGCCGGCATATTTTTTTTTTTCTTTTCCTTTAAATCTTCTTTCTCTCCGTTTCCTCGACATCGTTGACCTAATTAAGCCACTATAAACGATCATTACATTATGCATATTTCTGTCGCGCGAATGTTTTACTCTCGCAATTACTCGCAAAATCCCTTCATTTTTTTTTTTTTTTTTTTTTTTCTCTTCTTCGTCTAACAATCGCAACTATTGTCCATACGATTAACGCTATATTGCACTATTTAGAATTATACAAAATATATACCTAACGGTAGGCTTAGCTTTTTCTTCTCTTCTCTTTTCTTTTCATTCCTTTTTTTTTTCATTTTTTT